CGGCGGGGGAGGGCTGCAGAGTCCGCTAACAGGTCCTTCCTCCCTTGACGAATAACCAGGGCCTGGCTGGGGACCCCCCTGTCATCTCCCAACAGCGGACCCCAGGGCGGGGACACCGGGCCTCGGGATGGCTGTCTCTCCGCCTCCCACGTTTCTCCGACGAGGTGCCGCATCCGTCCGCAGGTGCCATCACCCCGCCTCCGTCTTGGGAACCCTGAGAAGGGATCGGTCCCCGCTTTTAGTTTTTTTTTTTAGTCATTGTCTCTGGGGCGACTAGGGGCGGCGGAGCTCAGCCCTCAAAGAGGGCCCGGTGCTGGAGTGACAGCGGCAAAGGCTGACGACAGCAGTCGATGCTTAAGTTTCTCGCAGCCTCCAAAGTGCTTTTGCGTAGATGGTTCTCCCTAATTCTCTCAAGCACGCGTTTATGGAGAAATAGCTTCATGGCCGCACCCCCGGTGGGAGCTGGCCTGTGTTCTCTCGAGCACAGCGGTGCTTTGTACAATCATGGTTTCAGTGATGCCCTACCAGGGTAGGCTCCATCTCTGTGAATTCCTGGGATTCCGCAAAGGCTGCAAGGGCCCAGAGCGAGAGGCTTTGTCCTCCTCCGAGTCTGGCTCAGGCCAGCCCTGGGCCCCTTTGTAAACTGCCCTCCAGCTCCTTCCTTCCACCAGCCCTCACAGCCTCTGTCCCAGCTCCGGACCATGGGGGCTGTAGCTTTTCTCCCTTCCAGCCCTCCAGCCAGAGGGCAATTCATGACATAGTTGAAAGGTGAGTTACTCATCTTTGCTTCAGGAACGAAGCCAAGAATGCTAACTAGTCCGTAATTCATCCAGCGGACTCAGAACGATGGTAGAACCTGTTTTCGTAGGCCCGGAGGCAAAGGGCATCGTAATGTTACCGTATCAATTCGAAAAACAAATATTGGCTTTTATACCACAAACTGTGGTATAGTCTTATTTTTGTCATCACACTACCAGAATGTGACCAAAAAATGCAAACAACAGCTTCCGGTTCTATATGATAACTTTGTCAATGGGACAAGTGCCAAGCAGCACCAGAAAGTTAGGGATGGTCAGGAATGACTTCATAGCTTGAACTGAAAATTTAAAAATGATTATGAATTTTCCAGGCAAGTAAGTTGGGGAGGCAAACATTCTAGAGAGAGGGAATAAGCTAGGTAAAAACACTGGGCTTGAGAAGACAGGTATTTTGGAGGAAAGGCTGATGCGCTCGTAAATATTTCCCTAAAGGAACTGGAAACAGGAATTGAAGAAATCCTTATACACCAGTGTTCACTGCGGCAAGGTTCACAATAGCCCAGAGGTGGAAGCCACTCAAATGTCCATCAACCACTGAATACATAAACAAGTGACATGTACACACAGCAGAAGATTATTCAGCCATGGAAAGGAATGAATGAAGTTCTGATACGTGCTGCAGCCTAGATGAATCTTGAAGACAGTATGTTAGATGAAGTAAGCCAGACACAAAAGGACAAATGTCGTACGATTCCAATTATTTGAAGTCTGTAGAATAGGTAAATTCATAGAGACAGGAAGTGGGTTAGAGGTCGCCGGGGGCCAGAGGGGAGGGCGTGGGGAGTTATTGCTTAATGGGTACAAAGTTGGAGGTGATGCAAAGTTTTTGGAAGTAGCTAGTGGGGACAGTTGCACAATATTGTGAATATATTTAATGCCACTGAATTGTGTGCTTAAAACTGCTGTAGTGAACATTTGTGTCCGAGTATCTGTGTGAGTCTCCACTTTCGATTCCTTTGGGTTTATACCTAAGAGTGTTCCAGGCATTTTATGTCATATATATTGTACCACAATAAGAAAATTTTAAACATAAGAAAGGCTGGCAGGTGTGAGGGCATCGGGAGGTGACGATGGCTAGGTGAGCATCTGGATCGTGAGAGGCCTTGCCTGCCTTGCTGAAGAGCTAGTATTTTATCCTGAAAGCATAGAGGGACTTTGCATGAGGGGGTGACACGATCGAATTTGTATTGAGAAAGATCAGACGTCCGTTATTACTCAGAAGAATTACTCGGAAGAATATGCCAGTACCAAGGATTTGGCACGGGGCAGAGCTCTGTTGACATCCAGGATAACGAGGCAGTTCAGAGAAGGGCTCGTGTTAGCCGAACTCTCTACTGTCGCTCGACGCCTCAGTTACGGCGACCTGCTGGAGGCGATGACCCCAAATACCTGCCATGTTTTTTTCTTCTGTCCACGAATGCCAAAAGCACAAGGTCACTTCTGTAATGGGAATCATCCAATCCAGTGTGAACCGAAGGTATCAAAATGTCCATATGTTTGGTAGTTGAGAGCTAACCTACACAATCTCATCGTTCTTTTTCTGGCAACGGTCCTTTCAATGGCTCTTATTTCTCCTTTTTTTTTAATCCTGTAAAGTACTTCTAGACCCGGAGCATTGGGCCAGAAAAAATGTTGTCCATATTAACATTAGACCTTTTGGTAAATTGCAAAATTCACAGTTCTGAGTATTAAAACGTTTATTTTTTTTTTTTTTTTTTTAAAGAGGAGTGTGGGTTTGGCCAGGTGTGTGTGGCCTTATATGGTGCTCACCTGGATCCCAAGTTCTGTGACCAGTACAGCAGTGGTCTTGTTGCTGTGCCTCCTCAGGCCCCGAAAGTCTTTCTAGAAGATAGATTCTCATCATGTCCTTGGGGCATGCTCAAGGAAAGTGATCAAACTTTCTGGCCGTTGAGATGGACATATAATTAACATCTTTGATGTCTGTGCCTTCGAGAAGCTCCAAATGTTTTGCAGATGTTATGTAGGATGCTTGAGTGGTTATTAGACCCTTTGAAATGAACTGAGACTCAGTCTTGCTCTGCTGCTGAGTTGATGTTTCGGATAGACAGACACACAGACACGGGCACACGCAAGGTCACATGCACCAGGCTTACAGGGAGGAATTCAAACATGACAGTGCATCACTGAAGGTCTTGTGGGTCCTGGCTGCCGGTCATGGCGGGCCATGCGTATCTTGTGTTTTGAACATGGCAGGTTCTGGCTTGTGATCAACGAGAAGGGGAACATGGTCACTGCTCGACAGGAACCTCGCCTGGTCCTCATTTCCCTGATCTGTGAGGGGGATGCCCTGACGCTCAGCGCAGCCTACACGAAGGACCTGCTGCTGCCCGTCCAGACGCCCGCCACGAATGCCGTGGTTAAGTGCAGGTAAGGAAGAGGCCGTTCGCAGCCCCGGCACGAGCATTTACTCACGCAGGGCCATGAAAGTGCCAGCTACGGAGGGGATCCTGAGAAAGATGACCTATAACCCTCGATGACAAATGCACCCTATGTGGGGTCAGGTCCTCAAGAGCATGATGATCTACATGAAGGAGGATAGCAATTCAGAAACGGGTGTCGACGTGGCGTTGACAGACGTAAAAGTCCCATGTAGAACAGCCTGGGGACAAAAGCATATTGACACATCAGCAGGACACAAAACGCATCACCGAAGGACCAACATGGAGTGGGAGTGACTGGGGAGAGAATTCTGGGAGAGGGAAGATTAGATCCCTGTTTGACCAGAGGACGGGGCCTATTTTGCTTGGAGAGAAGGAACCGTACAACTCTGAGTTAGGACGGGAGTCGCAAATGGCGAGGTGACCCCGCGGCGTTTAGGTCCGATGGAAAGAAGTTCCAAAACAGAAAAGGGACAGCAGCAACCGGAATGGTGATCCGACCTGCAGTCACCCAGGGGTCCGCGTCACAGTGCGAGGAGGGTCTCCCGGGAGGCGCTGGGCACGGAAGCTCTTTCCCAGGGTCACAAGGGCTGCGAGGAGGCGAGAGGCCCAGTAAAACCAGCACCGCCTCTAAAAGTCGCATCTAGAGTTGACTTTTTAATCCTGTTATGGGAAAATCGAAATTTAGCCGAAGTATCCGTTTGTTACAGCTTCTGCCTTTTGAATTAAAAGGCGACGTGAATGCTAAATGTTAGTCCGTGACCTGTCATAGACAGTAACATCACAACAAACAATGCAGTTAACTGAAAAGTGTCAGAAGACCCCCCAATGTTCATAAAATGCAACACCCATACAGTTTCTATAATATCCTAGACATAATACTAATATGCTTCTATTTTCATTGGGTGGGTTTTGATGATTCTAAAAGGAATATATATTCATAGTCGAAAAATTGGAAAATACCAAAAAAGAGGGAAAAAAACCCATCTGAAATAACTATAATTAATATTTTGACGTATTTCCTTTCTGTCTCTATAGCTAATACTTTTAACACCAACTCGAACTAACCCAAAAATTCTGAGTCTCGGATACCGCTATCTACTGAAGTTGATACGTTGAGTATTTTTTCTTATTGTTTAGAACATCTTCAAAAATGCCATTCTTCATATTGGCAAACATTTCATTCTGTGAGTGCCCTTTATGCATTTTAACTTGTCCCCAAGATTAAACATTTGAATTGTTTTCAGTATTTTCCCAAGTGGGAAGAAGACTGTGATACATATCTTGTTAGAAATCTTTGTTCATATCTCTTACTATTTCCTTAGGGAAAAAATTTTCACAATAGTTTTGTTAGAAACGAGAGTATGGATCCTAGACTTTCGCTATATGTTGCTAAATTGTTTTGCAGAGTGACAAAACCAGGTATGTGGCCGCCAGCGGTTCATGGGCATACCTGTCTAATTACATCCTGACCATTATGTTAAAAAATATGTTGCCATTCGGATGGGAAAAATGGTAATTCCTCGTTGATTTAATTTCCATTTTTAATACACCTGTTAGGATTTGTATTTCATGTCTCTCCATCTCCTGGTCCCTATTTGTCTCCCATGGTTAGATACTCAGCCGGACTTTGCAGTGGTGAAAATTTTTTCCGTTTAATTTTTTATCCATTGGGAATGGTGTGGAAACATTTTTCACGGACCCTTACGGGCTTCGGCTTGTGTTTCAAAGACTAAACAGGAAACGTGTTTAAAAATTGCAAAATGAGAAGGCTTAGACTCTTCGGGCAAAGATGTCAAGGACGCTTCGGACTCAGGTTCCTTTACGGCCCTTGTGGTATCTCTTGTGGCATCTGGAATTGTAACGTCAGCCCGGTTCCCTAAAGATTTCCGATGAGTTTTGGGGGCCCTGGGGTGACAAGGCCATGATCATAGCCAGTAGACCTGCTTATTACTTGGTGTCTGCACAAGCCATGCCAGACACTGAGGGGAAAAAGGGAATTAGAGACTTTGTAAGGTGAGCAGCCTCAAATCGTGGCTGCGGTATCTCCGTCAAAGGTTTTGGGAACATTTGGACTTTTTTCCTTCGGATTTTTCTGGACAGTGTGTCACAGCCGAGGCTGCTCAGAACACAGGACAAACGTGAGGGGATAAGGAAGATAACAAGGAACAAAATTCTGCTCATTTAAAAGCCTCAGGTTCCGGATGTTTAAGTGAACTTGAACCCCCAGACCTGCACATAGAGGCTGCCATGGAAACAAGCATCAGGTCAAGAGGGCCGATGTCTTAAATTTTTGTAATGAGCAAATATGGATGCAAATACTTTAACTTAGTGAAGATAATGGTTGTCAGCTGCCTTCCTAGGCAGCCTTCATCCTCCTATAAGGGCACACTGTGGGCTGCTGAGGGGCGGGGCTAAGGGGCTTCGATGGCAGTTGGGATTTGACTCCAGAGATAAGAGGCAGATTTTTTTTTTTTACCCAGACACTAGAAAAGAGACATCTAATAGGAAAGTGGCCTTCAAGGCTGCCTTTGTCCCTAGATTTTGGTAGCGCAGCCGTGGCTTGAGATGGTTCGGAAATGAACATCTTAGACGGTCCGCTGCTCACACGTGCTCGTGCGCACACACGCACACAGGCTAACCTCTCACGCACACTGGGTTCTGGAAATCTCCGCCCTCTTGCGGTGGATTTGATATTTGGAGGAAGCGTGTGAGTCATTGGGAGCTAAGTTGGGTAAACAAGGAGGTGATCAAGCCACATAAGATGATTTTTCTTTTTTTTTTTTTGGTTTAGAAAATGAAGTTAGACTCCCAGCAGTAGAGCTCATTTCTCATGAGTCTTCTAAGTTGTTTCTGATTAATGTTAGGATGATTCTATTGCTTCCCGAGGTGACTACTTTGCAAGGTCAAATGCATTTGGATGTATGAATTTTGGCATTTTTATTTTGGTCATTTCCGTTCTACTTCATCTTGACCCAGAATAGAGGAAGGCGGGTAGATGCTCCTGGTTTTTATTGATCAAAGAGTCTCATTACTCTGTAGGTGTAGCACATGAACTTCAATCCTCTGACTTTTAGGTCCATTTAGAACGGATGGGAAGGAGGAAATAAAATATCTTTGTTTGTGGATAACATGATATTACATAGAGAAAATCCCAAAGACTCCACTAAAATACTGTTCGATCAACAAATTTAGTAAAGTTACAGGATAAAAAAAATCAGCACATGGAAATCAGTTGTGTTTCAAAACACTAACCACAAAAGATCTGAAAGAGAAATAAAGAAAACAATTCCATTCGCAACGTCAAAAATACTAAAAGACTCAGAAATTTAACCAGTGAGCTGGAACATCTGTGCGTTGAAAACTCTAAGACATTAATGAAAGAAATTGAGGAGACAAATAAATGGAAAGATATTCCATGTTCATAGATTCGAGGCAATCCCTATCAACATTCCAATGGCATTTTTCACAGGAATAGGAAAAAAGCAATCCTAAAATTTGCATGACTCTACGAAAGGCCCCGAATAGCCAAAGTAATCCTGCAAAAAACAAGAACGGAGCTGAAGGCATCTCACTTCTTGCTTTCAAACTATACTCCAAGGCTACAATAATCAAAACAGTACGGTGCTGTCCTAAAAATAGACACGTAGATAGATCGATGGAACAGAATCAAGAGCCCAGAAATAAACCCATGCCTGCGTGGTCAACGAATGGTTGTCGAGAAAGCCAAGAATAATCAACGGGGAAGAACAGTCTCTTCCATGAGCGGTTTTGGGGAAACCGGCTATTCGCAGAGGTGGTGCCAGGCTAAACCGATGTCTCCTGGCAGTTAGGGAGTGACAGGGACATCACAGCTTGCTGTAGCTATTCTGATATGAGTAGGACATGGAAGGGCGCCCAGATTTTCAAAGCCATGCCCAGCCTTCTCTCTTGTCACCCCCCGCAGAGTGCACGGCCTGGAGGTGGAGGGCAGGGACTGCGGTGAGGCCGCAGCCGAGTGGGTCACCAGCTTCCTGAAGTCACAGCCCTACCGCCTGGTACATTTTGAGCCTCACATGCGACCGAGAAAGCCTCACCAAATACATGATGTATTCCGGGCCAAAGATCAGGTCAGAGGAGGGCCCCTCAGCTTGGGACTTTGGGGTGGCTTATGGGGGGCAGGCTTCCTTGGGAGCTGAGCGCCGTCCACCTCCAGCCCATCCGGTAGGGGTGCATTTCTGCTGAGCTCAGACCTTGTTTTGCCAGGTGACCCCCAAGCAATAACCATAGGCAAAAATCAAGCCCTTCCCTCGGGAACGTCATCTTTGCTTCTTGATTTGGGGGTGACACCCACGTCGTTGCCCATGGACACCTACCTTCCTATTTACGGAAGCCTTCCGGTGCCATTTGGGTTTCAGAACCGTTCTATGCCAGTATCTTTCCAGTCCATTCTGTTATTGCATGTGGAGGCCAACCTTTTTACTGTTGGAATGCAATTAAGACAATGAGTGTGGGATGGAGATCCGCAGACTTAAAACGACCAGCCCTTAAAAAACAAGGCTATAAGGACTCATCGTGACAGTAGGGTTGGTAGCACGATGCTGCGAAACTCAATGACCAGGGCCATTAAAAGAATCAGAGTCAGCAAAAGTACTTATCAATGATTTGCAGGTAGCATAAAAAACAAATATGCACAGAATCAGTGAATATTTCTTTTGATCACACGTAACAAGGTCGCCAAACCCAACCGCCTTACTAACCACGTGAAAAACGAGAGGCTTAGAAAAGTAGAGTGAATTCCCCAAGGACACTTGCTAGGTGATAGTTCTAGGATCCTGGAACTAGTCTAGTCCTCTTCACGCCATCACGGAATCCCTGTGATCTGCAAGGCTCTTTAGAGCTACTGAATCGCTGTGACTTTTTCTATAAAAAAACTAGAGAAATCCTTAGAAAGATTGCGTGCCTGTGGGGGGTGGGGGGCGAGGGGTCCAGGAACTGGACGCTCCGAGAGACTCTTTCGTGGGCCACGTGGGATGACGACTGCTCTCCTCATCAGATCGCTTACTCGGACACCAGTCCGCTCTTGATCATCTCTCAGGCGTCACTGGCGGATCTCAACTCCAGGCTCGAGAAGAAAGTCAAAGCAGCTAACTTCAGGCCCAGTATTGTCATTTCAGGGTGTGGCGTCTACGCAGAGGTAACTATGTGGCTCCTTGCCCGTTTTCCTTGGATGTAACTTTTTTTTTTTTCCCAAGGTATGAGTCTTTGAGATTAGATTAGATTCTTCCCAAATATGCGTTATTTATCGGGTCCCTTCTACACGCCGGTTCCGTTTTTCGGTTTCCTGAACATCTGATCGGTGCAGACTTCTGTGTGGACACAAATATAGACGAGGCGGAGGTGAGATGTCAAGGAGCAGTTCAGGGTCTGAGGCGTCTTTGGAGAATTCCCAGGAGGCAGATTCGTTTTTGAGCCAAATTTCCCTAGTATGGAGCGCATGGGGGCCGCGGCACAGCCAGGGCGTGCGTGCCCCCGGGTCTGGGGGAAGGTGGCTTTCCTGCCCCGTCGATGGCCCCCGGGGAAATCCGGCATTTGCACCATGGCTGCGGGAGGTGTGGTTTTAACATAGGGATTTGGGGAGGACGCACCCATCTGCAGCAACCTCTGTACTGGCGCTTCCGGTCCGTTCTTCAAAAGCTTCTCTACACCGAGGACCCCCTGGTGTACCCGGACTGGGACTCGCCCTTTGTCCTGCTGTCTCTCACTTCCCACATTCCAATAGCGGCCGTGTCTTGCTGG